AAAAAATTAAAAATAGAGCTACCCTATGACCCAGCAATTGCACTACTGGGTATTTACCCCAAAAACACAGATGTAGTGAAAAGAAGAGCCACATGCACCCCAAAGTTCATAGCAGCAATGTCCACAATAGCCAAACTGTGGAAAGAGCCAAGATGCCCTTCAGCAGATGAATGGATAAAGAAGAAGTGGTCCATATATACAATGGAATATTACTCAGCCATCAGAAAGGATGAATACCCAACTTTTACATCAACTTGGATGGGACTGGAGGACATTATGCTAAGTGAAATAAGTCAAGCAGAGAAAGTCAATTATATGGTTTCACTTATTTGTGGAACATAAGGAATAGCATGGAGAACATTAGGAGATGGGAAGGGAAATCAGATGGGGAGATGAACCATGAGAGACTATGGACTCTGAGAAACAAACTGAGGGTTCTAGAGGGGAGGTGGGGTGGGGGAGGGGTTAGCCCAGTGATGAGTATTAAGGAGGACATGTACTGCATGGAGCACTGGGTGTTATACGAAAACAATGAATCATGGATCACTACATCAAAAACTAATAATGTATTGTATGGTGATTAACATAAAATTAAGTTAAAATAATAAAATAATCTCCTTTTCTTTAACTTTTGAGAGTTTAATTATATTGTGTCTCAGTGTAGGTCTCTTTGGATTCCTCTTTTGGAGATCCCATGGGCTCCCTGGATGTAGCTGTCTCTTTCTCTAAGTTAGGGTGGCTTTCTGTTATTTTATCAGATAAGCTTTCTGACCCCTTTCTCTCTCTCTTCTCCTGGGACCCCTATAATGTGAATATTTGTCTGCTTGATGGAGTCTTATAATTCCCTTAAGCTATCTTCACTCTTTTTCATTATTTTATCTTTTTGCTTCTCTGATTGAATGAATTCTTCCTTTCTGTCTTTGAGTTTGCTGATATTTTCTTCCACTTTATCTAGTCTGCTTTATTGACTTTTTCAACTTAGATATTGTCTTTTTCAGCTTTGATTTCTGTTTGGTACTTTTTAATATTTTCTATCTCATTGTTGAAATTCTCACTTTGTTACGCATTGGTCTCCTGACCTTGGTAAGCATCTTTTGACCATTATTTTAAGCTCTTTATCAGATAAATCACTTATCTCCATTTTATTAGGGTCTACTTCTGGAGTTTTATCTTGTTGTTTTGTTTAAAACATATTCTTCTGTTTCTTCATTTTTCTTTCCCTCTGTGTTGGTTTCTGCATATTAGATACAACAGCCACCTCTCCCAGTCTTGATAGAGTGGTCTTGTGTAAGAGATGAACCTTATCATTCAGCTCAGCCTTAGCTCTTGGCTGTCGCTCAAACCTTTGTGATTTTCCAAGCCACTTTCTGTGGTTTTAATGGCTTCCAGTAGTTGAAGGTGTGTCAAGACCTGTCAGTCTCCCAAAGGGGAGGATCTTAGTCAGCACCTAGATGGAGGCTGATTGGAAGCCAAACCCTTGGTTAACAGCTTTTAAAGTATGCATGCAGACTTCTTTCCAGGAAAGACTGGGAGCTGCTGGGCATTTCTGTATGCTCCCTTTGCACTGAGCTTTGGGTAGATAGCCAATTAAGAAGCATTTCTTTGTTACTGTCCTATGGAATCTGGAACTAAAACCCCACTGGCTGCCAGAGCCAGGTGATCAAGGGGTGTATCCCCTGGACAGCAGCCACAAAAGCCAGAATGGTAGGCATGTATACAAGCTCATTCCAGGAATATACCAATGACCTGAGTGGGCCAGAGGGAGAATGTGCAGATGGTGCCCACTGGCTTTCTTCATCTCTGGGGAGGATTGCAGTCTGTCCCTAGATGTGTGCCAAAATAGAAGCCTGACCTTCAAGAAGCAGCTTTTAAAGAATGCAAATAGGCTTTTTATAGAGAAAGACTAGGATATGGGTGATTCTGTCTGCTGTCTCTGTACTAGACCTGAGTTTTCCACAGTGAGTCTTCATAAGCCCATTAAGAACTGTTTCAAGCTGGGCCAGTACCACCATGTTCTCTCGAGTGGGCGTCGCTGGGCTCTCGGCCTGTGCCGTGCAGCCACAATGGATCCAAGTTTGAAATATGACAAATTTAAAAGATATTACTAGGCGACTAAAGTCAATCAAAAACATCCAGAAAGTCACCAAGTCTATGAAAATGGTAGCAGCAGCAAAATATGCCCGAGCTGAGAGGGAGCTGAAACCAGCTCAAGGATATGGGATAGGATCTTTGGCTCTGTATGAAAAAGCTCATATTAAGGTGCCTGAAGACAAGAAGAAACACCTCCTTATTGGCGTGTCCTCAGATCGAGGGCTCTGTGGTGCTATTCATTCCTCGGTTGCTAAACAGATGAAAAGTGAGGTGGCCACACTCCGCAGCAGCTGGGAAAGAAGTCATGCTTGTTGGAATTGGTGATAAAATCAGGGGTATACTTCATAGGACTCACTCTGACCAGTTTCTGGTGTCCTTCAAAGAAGTGGGAAGAAAACCTCCTACTTTGGGGGATGCATCCATCATTGCCCTTGAACTACTAAATTCTGGATATGGATTTGATGAAGGGTCTATCTTTAATCAGTTCAGGTCTGTCATCTCCTACAAGACAGAAGAAACGCCCATCTTTTCCCTTGAAATCATTGCAAGTGCTGAGAGCATGAGTATCTATGATGATATTGTTGCTGATGTGCTGCAGAATTACCTAGAATACAATTTGGCCAACATCATCTACTATTCTCTAAAGGAATCCACCACGAGTGAGCAAAGTGCCAGGATGATGGCCATGGACAACGCTAGCAAGAACGCTTCCGAGATGATTGACACACTGACCTTGACATTCAATCGCACCCGCCAGGCTGTCATCACGAAAGAGTTGATTGAAATCATTTCCAGTGCAGCAGCTCTGGATTAATGAAAACCAAGTTTCATCCTCAGACAAGAGATAAAGAAGGAAAATTCAGCCAGCTGATTTTATTTTTAGCTTACTGCTGTCCTTGTCAGAAGAAATTGTTGGTCCATTGTTTAAACTACTAAAGACAGCAAGATGTTTGTAAATTATCTTAAAATAAACAACTTACCGAAAGAAAAAAAAAAGAACTGTTTCTTTGTGTTCTATAACCTGGTGGGTCTCATGGATGCAAGCCTCATTGTCTTTCAAAGCTAGGTGTTTTGGGGGCCCATCCCTCATGCAGACATCTTAAAAGTTTGGGCACTAAATGTTGAGTCCAAACTCTTCACTCCTCAAGGAGAAGCTTGGAGTTGTGAACTTCCTTCTGGTTGCTGCACCAGGGATGGGTTTATGATAAAATTGTGTTTCAGCATTTTCTACCCATTTTGATGTGGGTTTTTTTTCTTATTTACCCAATGTGTGTAGGAGTCACTCAGCTAGTTTCTGGATTTCTTTCAGAAGGAATTGTCCCAGGTGTAGCTGTAGATTTGGTATGTGCATGGGGGGAGGTGATTTTGGGAGATTTCTATGTTGACATCATGGACCAGAACCACCAGCATTATTTGTATTAGTCCCAAACTGGAAACCACTCAAATATCTATCAACAGTAGAATGGATGAATAAAATGTGGTAGAGTCACACAATAAAACTCTATACAGCATGAAGGATAAATGATCTACTACTATATAACAACAATGATGAATCTCCTAAATATAATATTAAATGAAAGAATCCAGACACAAAAGAGTACAAGCAAAACTAATCTTTGGTGACAGAAGTCACGATGGTAGTTATCCTTGGGTTAGGGGAAAAACAAGGTGGAAAAGGGGTACAAGGGAATGTTCTGGGGTGTGGGTAATGATCTATTTATTGGCCTGGATGCTAGTGATATGGATGTGTTCCCATCATGAAAATACATCAAGCTTAAGATTTGTGTACTTTTCCATATACGTACTATACTTCAGTAAAAGATTAATTTGCCTTAAGTAAAAAAGAAATCCTTTAAGAAAAAAAGAAAGCCTTTAGCAAAGGCTTTTCAGTGACTTCCCATAGTACTCAGAATAAAACCCAAAATCCTTACCATGGCCTATAAGGCTATACATGATCTGGCCCATGGCTACCTCCTCCACATTATTCCTTATCGTTATTCCCCTTGCTTACTCAGCTCCAGCTACATGGCCTTCTTGCTGTTCTGCAAACATAATAAAAACTCCTTTCCATCCTAATGCTTTGTACTTGCTCTTCCCTTTGCCTGGAACACTCCTCTCAGCTTGTCACATTGTTGGTTTCTTATCATATAGGTAACAGCTCAAATGTCACTTCTTCAAAAAAGTCCTCACTCAACATACTCCATCTGAAATAGACTACCCAGTCACTTTTTATCACAGTACATTATTTTTTCTTTATAACATCTGTAACTAGATATGTATTTATTACTTGTTCATCATTTGTCTTTCTTAATAGAATGTAAACTCCCCAAAGGCTGGGATCATGTCTGCTATGTTCATCACTGTATCTTTAACACCTGACACCACCTAGCACATAGCAGCTGCTCATGTAAATGTTAGAGTTGAATGAATGAGTGAAGATCACTGAGTATTCTGTCCAGTAGGTCTATAGCTTGGCTTTTCCCCACAAAGAGAAACACCTGAGAAGTTCTAGGTCATTCTGCTAAAAAGAAAGCCTTGTTAGTACAACCTCTCTTGCCCACCTCAGCTTAGTGAATAGAAAGCTCAGATCTTTCCCCAGTGCTTCTGTAAAATTTGACCAAGAGAATGTACTTTAGGTAAAACATCATATCCTAAGATGGAAGAAACCAGCTAGAACTTACTTCTATCTCCTACCCCCAGATTCTCCAAAGAAAAAAAAAACATGGTCAACAGGCAGCAGGGCTCCTCTCTGCAATCCTATATTCCCAAGAGAACATTGACTTATTCTCACCTTATCTCTAGGACAAGTAATGAATATAGACAAAGCCTTATATAAAATTGCTCAATAAGCAATAGGTGTCTTTAACATGTGTTTGAGGATATCTTTTCTTCTCATGATTTCATCTTAGATACAACAACTATGACAGAGCTGTCATCAATACTGTACCTTATGATGTTGTCCATCGTTGGTATACAGCACACCGGACTCTGACAGTAGAGTTGAGGAGACCTGAGAATGAGTTTTGGGTCAAACTAAAGCCTGGCAGGGTGGGTGCCAAGTTCTAAAGATGTCAAGTAAGCTTGTTATACTGAAGCAGTGAATAATGGGTACTTCCTTAATATGTGAGTCACAGTCTTGCAAAGGTAAAAAAAGAATCCTGGGTATTGGCTCTGGTCCTGCCACTCACTGAATGACCTGGAGCCAGGTCCCACACCATATGTAGGCATCAGTGACTCAGTGTCTCTATATGTATAATGAGGGGGTTGAACTAGATAATCCCTAAGTGTCCTTCCAGCTATATACGATTTTTTTTTGCTCTTGATATCCTCTGAATGAATAATGTCTTCAGCTTAGCATAAAACATAATGAAATAGTTTAACTTTTTAAGAAAGTGTATATTAAAAATTAAACAGAAAAGAAAATGAAGCCAGTTATCTGATTTGCTTTGATAAGAGAATAATTACTCAAGAAACATGAGCTTCTCAAGTACAGGGCCTAATTACCTGCTGTTGCTTTTGTAACTTCCACCCAGCCTACTACAGGGTTATGCACATCCTAATTTCCAAATGTTTGTTTAATCTCAAAAAGAAAGATACCTCATTGAATTTTAACTAGAGAACAACCTAAAGCTTTTCTTTTAAGTGGTCTCTTCTGATTTAGAATTCCTTTGGTCTGTTTTTATTCTGATGGTGGTTTTTTTTCTCTCTTTTTGCCCATTCACAGGTCCTATTTATAGACAACTGGCGTGTCCTACATGGCAGGGAATCGTTTACTGGCTACCGCCAACTCTGTGGCTGCTATTTAACAAGGGATGATGTATTAAACACTGCTCGTCTCTTGGGGCTTCAGGCTTAAAATTGACAGCATTAGGATTATGGACACACCTGGCACCCTGGCTACCAGAATTTCATATCAGCAAAATAATATTGTGTCAAAACCTACTTCAAATTGTCTCTTTATCTCATCACACAAAACAGAAATTGCAACTAGATCAGTTAGAAAGAAATGCATTTTAGGAACAAAGTCTTTGTAAAGCAGCAGTTTGCAAAATGTTTGGTCTTAAGACACCTTAGCACTCTTAAAAGTCATTGAGGACCCCAAAGTGTTCTTGGATGTGGGTTATATCTATTGATACTAACTGTAATAGATATTAAGACTGACAAATGTTTAAAATTCAAGAACACAAAATCACACATCCCTCAGTATCAGAGAGATGTCATCATCACATGCCATATAGCCTTTGGAAGAGCCCTGTGTACATTTGTGAGATAAGAATGAAAAAGGTAAATATCATCTTAGTGTCATTATAAAAAATATTATTTAACCCACAGGCCCACTGAAAGGGGCTCAAGAATCCCTCCAGGTGTTTTCAGACCACTCTTTAAGAACCAGTGGGCTGGAGGATACCTTAAGACAGTCCTTTACATAGACCTGTGGATTAAAGAGTTCAGCTGAAGCCATAGATTTATATCTACAGTGTCCTAGAACTACAGATATTGTAGAAATTGCTTGATAGCACAAGCTCAGTGATAAGGTAGTAACTGAATATAAACATTGTTTTATCTTACAAGAAGGGTTATCTCCATCCAAGACATCTCTTGAAGAATTAAACTAGGAAGCCACAATAGCTCCTGTGGAACAGATCCATCCATTCAATAATTGTGTGAGGGATAGTTGCAGAAAGTTTTTAGAGACTTCTGAGGTTCCATGTGATAATTCATATATATACACATACACCACAAGAGAGTACAGAGGGTTAGTCTGTAAGACTGTTCAGTGAACTCATCATGACAGATGATGTGCCTCCAAAGAACTGGAAATTACTATCCAACCTTGCATTTTTGCTTTTGATGGAATTTAGGATGCAATCTGTTTCCTCCATTTCTGCTGATCTTTTTTTTTTTCTTTTCTTAAAATATTATACATGTTAATTGCTAAGATTTGCCTTGGTTAAGTATAATGCCTTGTTTCTTTTATTTTTTAGTGGCTCCCTTTATATATGGATGGAGAGACAGAGAGATGGGTATGAGGCTTATTTCATTGAAAGTGAAGCTGTACAATAACTGCACTGACCACTGTAGAATGATGAAAGAGAATCCAGGCTAGGATGTGCAGAAGAGGGAAAAAAAGGCATCATTAGTGGGGATAGAAGTGACAAACTCAGTACTCTGACAGAGAATAGAGTCTAATCTGATGTTCACAAAGAGTCCCTAGTTCACGTTTAGTAGTTTATGCATTATCTTATTGACTCATCCAGTGCTCTAAAATATGCCCTCAAAATATTTCTGCATTTTATTTGTACTATTTAGGAATCTTTAGGGGTCTTCATGAAATTTGTTGTCCTTGGGTCAAAGGATTGATAATGAAGCCTAGGTCTTAAAGAACATACCCATTAGCAATCAGAACAGAAGTAACATTTTAACATGCAATCTATTCTCCCTATTGTTAGGTTATTCCTAAAATATGTCACCATTAGTCTTCCTCAGGATATTTATCCTTTTTGAAATTTTGCTTAACTTAGCCTTGAAAATTACATTTTAACTGTGGTCAGCATTGATTTATAACAAGCAATGGACATATTCAGGGTCCTGGAGAGATAAGGATACAGATCAATCTTCTCCCTTACCAAAGGACTTCCTTTACCTTCTGTTTCTCCTGGGACCTTGATTCATTAATTATTTCACCCTCACTTTCCTAAATTTTCAATCCATACTTTTCTATAATGTACTCCCTTCAGAGGAAGAAAGAGGGAAGGGAATTATTTGAGTGCTGATCATGGTGCATTGAAAACTTTCTTTGTAAAATGTTTCTTTTTTTACATCTCTTTCTGGTGTCCCTGAATATATAAGCATGGGTCCATGTCTACCAAGCTCAGTGTTGTAGAGTTACTTTTACCTTTTGCTAAGGTGGGATGGGATCAGTAGGGTCAGGGGCACAACACCTAACATAGTTTTTTCATAATACAAATTTGTTGGAATAAGAATAAAATAATGAATCCTTTTCAAACAAATTTACCAGATATTACCATGTTCTCTATAAGGATGTCCTTTTGTGTTTGGCAGTTAACCAGCACTGAATTTTGTCTACCTTCATCTAGAGTGACAAACCATTCAAGTGTGTTCAGGACTGAGGGGTTTCCTCGGCTGCAGAACTTAGTGTTAAAACTGGGGAAGTCCCACATAAACCAGGACTATTGGTCTCCCTACCTTCTTCCTGCTAGCAATGTCTTTTTCTTTAGTGTTCATCAGCGGTTCTTATTTCTGTCCAAGTGCTTGTGAATCACAACCCGTGTAGTCTATGATGAAAAGGAAAAAAGATGTATGAACTGTGGTGTGTTGTGCTGGTTCCCAAAGTAGACCGGCAGCTGCAGCATCATTTGAGCACTTGTTAGAAATGAAAATTCTCAGGCCCCACACCAGACCTACTAAATCAGAAACTGTGGGGGTGGAAGCCAGCAGTTTGTGTTTTAGCAAGCCCTCCAGGGGATTATGGTGCCTGCCAAAGTTTGAGAACCACTGAAGGGAAGAGCCTTGTTGCTAAGCTCTAGGCCCAATTTTGAGCTAGAGTTTCTTCTTCATTTTAAAATGGAGGCCTTGGACAGGGCAACATCTAAAGGTTCTGTCACTGTAATTTTGTTTGACCTCATAGCTTAAGTTTTCTCATATGAGCGGAGTAAGGAAAATACCTACCCCACAGGTTTTTCTAGCAAATTTGTGATTATTAAATAAGATGTTTGCAGCACATAATGATAACCAATAACAATAACTAACTTTCATGGTGCTTTCCATGTGCCAGACACTGTTATAACTGCTTTTAATCCCCACAACAATCCTACCCCTATTTTATAAATGAAGAAATAGAGGTAATGAGAGATTAAGTGGTTTAGCCAAGGTCATATGGCTAAATAAGTGTCAGAGTTTGGATTAGAATTTCAAAAATCTGGCCACAGAGACAGTGCTTTTAATTAATATGCCATATTCCAAAATAAATGTTAATGCCTTCCCCCTTGTCCTTATTCCAACAATATTTACAGTCTAGCTAACCACTCATAGATAGTAATCATCATCTGCACTCTTAAGTTCCTTCCAATAAAATCTTAAAAAAAACATGAGAATATCTACATGTTTTGCAAACAGTTTATAAATATCCACCAAACCCCCTACTTTTTTAAAAAACAAAGTGTTATTCACATTCTCTAATTTTACTTCTTCCAAAGGTAGAAACTTGATGATAGAATGATAGAAAGAAATCAATCCATTCAGCATTTTTCCTTCTTTCCACACTCTTTCAAAATATGTCAGTTGTTAGGATCAAAACCATTTTATAGGACATATTCATATCACTGCCCCAGGAAGCTCTTGGGCATATTGGAGATCCACTCACACAGCCAGCTGGTGGCTTAGTTGTGAAGTCAGGCCATGTCAGTGTCCTTGCCTCCCTAGGCCTACAACTCACCAGAACCAAAGACCCTGGCAGATATGGTTGTAGTTCTTTTTTTGTTCTTTTCTGTTGTTGTCAGATCTACATTCAGGGGTTGGTGGGTTTGTAGGTAGTTTATCCTACTCCTTGGCTTTAAGCAGTGGGCCTGGCTTTTGTCTTCCATCTTGCTAAGAGTACTTTTGGACCACTCAGAGTATAAAGTCTTAGCTTGATTAATGGAATCCAAGCTTCGTTTCTGGAAAAAAATCATCAGGCATCTTTTACAATTGTGAAAATCATCTTAAGCCATGTTGGTGTGTATCATATAGTTTCATAGTGGTGTTCTAACCTACTTTTTATGGGTAGATAAGCATGGTAATTTATCCTATGCATAAGTAAAGATCACAGGGTCAATGCTATGTGAACCTATGAAGTCAGTGAAGGTTTTTCTCTTCTAGCCCCACCTTTCTCTATGGTCTATCCTTTGTCCCATTAATGATGGCCACTCCCTCCAGTTCAGGTACTCAGTATCCTCTTACCTTCTGCTTTCTAGATCCCTCTCTGATGCCTTGACTGAGTCAATGTAGTGTCATAGAAAGAGCATGGACTTGGACAAAACTGGGCTTGAATTCCATCTTTGCCTCTGACTAGCCTGGTGAATTTGGAGAAGTCACTTTCGTTCCTTGGGCCTCTTTTTCTTCATCTGCAAAATAAGGCTTATAAATGTCATCTACCTGCTAAAGCTGTGATGAAGAATGAAATGAGGTCTTGTGCAGAAAGTGTGTACCACAGTGAGGAGCACACAATAAATACTCAGTAGTGGTTTATTTTTGTCACCAATGTTATTTGAGCAAATAAGAGGAAACAAGGCGAGTCTGTGTGTTTGATAGAAATCAGCATTCTACTTGGAAGGAGAAAAGCAATGAGAAGTATGTGGAAATGCTAGGGGTAAGGGAGAGTAGACAGGTCATGAAATATACACATATTGGCAGAGCATTCAAGCACAACCTGAGGGTTTATAGATAGGAAGTTGGTTTGAGTAGGTGATGCAGGAGCTGAGAGCTGAAAGGGTGAATGGATCAGAGAGAGAGGTCAGAGGATGGATCAGAGAGCTTGATGAGACAAGAAGAGTCTGGCGTAGTTTAGGGAGAGTGGCTTAATAACAAAGGTGATAGGATGAATGAGGCAGGTAGGAAGATACCTATGCCTGCCATGATGTATAGTTAAGGTAGAACACATACTTACACATGTAACTTCACCATCTCCCAAAACCCCAGTGAAACTACTATAAAATTATATTTTAAATGATTGGAAGGGCAGGAAAGGAGGCAACAACTAAATTTTGAATGCTGAAAAGCAGATGGATGAATAGTAATTGACTTAGCAGACCCAGAAGGGTCACAAAGAATCTTAAACCCTTAGTGGGAGAAACCAAAAACCAACCTCATTTTTTACCCCCTTTTCCACCCCACCCCACAAGAATCTTCAAAGGCTGAAATACGTAACTCTGGAAGTGGAGGTGGGTAGTGGGCACCAAAATAATGAGGTTTGTTTAAAAACTGTTAAAGAATTTCCAAACCCCCTCCTGCATTTGATACCTGACTAAACTGAGGATCTGGCCCTTCCCTGCCCTGACAGAAGTCTGGAGTGTTAGTCCCTGAAATGCAGAGGACTCTGGACTGGGAGCCAAAGGCTGGAATCTCATCTTAAAAACAGAAGAGTTAATTAGAGATATGCATCCTGAAAGCTGTAAATCCCCATCCTTCTCCACCTCAGACTCTAAAATTCTTGCAGCTGAAAGGTTCTTCTGTGAGCCATTTGACCAACTCAAGAGAAAAATATCTAAGGATATTGACAATAAAGGGTCCCCAGAAAGAACCCAGCTGAAATACTCTATGGTGAGGCTCTTTGTATGCTATTGTGAGGTAGACAGGAGGAGGAGGA